AATCTTCATATGTGCCGCTGAAGGTCGGAAGCTGTATTCTGGGCAGCTGAATTTCGTTCTCGTCGCGAGGGATCGATTGCGTTTTTGAATCGTTTTCGGTATTTGACAACATAGCGCGTGGGGATGTAACTTCCCCTTCGAGAATTAAGGTACGCGATCTGGCAATTACTGACGAATAATTGTCCTCGATGTCGTACCTTTCGTTTAAGTGATCCATGACGTTGTCCATTGCGTCTAATTCCGATTGAATTTCGATGTACGCGTCGAAAGAGGTTACGAGCCGTTCGGTTTTGAATTTCAATTCTTCTAAACTACTAGTGTCTGTATACGCGTCGAGAGCATTACGAAATCGTGTAATTTGAGCCTTGAAGGTAGAGCGTCTAGCCTTCAATCCCCTTAATAGTTCTGCGTGTTCAGTAGCCATTTTGAATTGATCGTCGCGTGGCAAGGAATCGAGAGAAATCGAGAAGGAAGCGATGATTCGCGAAACAAACAATGAGCGGACTTACTTGGATACTCTTTGTCTGTTGGCTGCGTCGTCGAGAGGATGTTCCCTGGATGGTCGATGCCTTGGTGATCACCTTCCAGGTAGTTGCGGTCGCCGTGAAGTTGGCGGTTGAGGATAGTCCGGTCCTCCGTGTACGTAGATCTCGTTGGCTGGATCTGCGTAGTCGTGTTGATTCCTCTGGCTCGCGGCTGGCGTGTGGATACAGATGATAGGCCGGTTTGCTCCTCGGGCGGAATCCGACGTCAATCAGCTGGATATCCGGCTCGAAGGACCACTCGCAACAGTGTACAACATTAAAATCTTAACAGGAGGTTTATTCAAGTTTCTAACATGTTGCGAGTCGCACGAAGATATTGGTAATAATGATAGACGCCGCTTTTGAAGTTGCTATATTTATAGGGTTTAGAAGAAAACGCGGAAGGGACTAGAGAGGGGTTGAGGTAAAAGGTCTAGGAAAGTGGCAAAGGTCCTAGGTGACTAATTGTAAGAACTGAAGTACAAAACATTTGGCGAAATGAGTGTTCGCGGTACGCTGGATCTTTATCGAAGATTACAACGCGAGCGGCTCGCATCCATGAGTCACGTCGTGGTAGGTTGGTATCCAACAGTATAATTGTTTTCTAATAGCATACAATATAGTATCATAGTATAGTATATAATATAGCATAATAGTACATTGCATAATATAGTATAATAGTATAGTTTATAATTGTTTATGATGTGCTCGTGGTCGTTGTAATCAACTTTTCGAGCCTTGTCGAATTTTGCACGTGGAGTGCCAACTAAGTCTAATGGTTCGTCTTCGAAGGACCACCTCCGTATGGCGGAGGACAAACAACTATTACTAATGGTCTAAAACTTCTAGTGACTTGACTCTTGGTGTGGTCAGATGGATTCTAATGTTCCCTTCCGCGAAAGGTCCCACGACACCTCGGTGCGAGGACGCATCGCGGGGGTGAGGCCCTCGGATAGGTTGAGTACATTTTTTGACAGTGGTGGGGAAGGGTGGCTGGCGAAAAGTATTGGCTAAATCATAGGTGGGAAAAACTACACGAAAATGCCACCCCCCAGACCATAGGTCACTCTCAGGTACCAAGCGTACCCTTGAGTGACGCACGCGGAAATTCCGAGTGCCTCGAACAATGACCGTAGCAGACAATAACGTTAAGAAGCTCTTCGGCTCTGGTGACCATATGAATGCAAAAAATGTACAAGTTAAAAAGGCGAAGATTCTAAGTCGAAAATGAGGCAATAAAGGTGAAAGCAAGTTCTTAGATTGAAAGACTACGATTGCCGTGGCGTCA